AACTAATCTGAAAAACAGGCCTGTTCCTTGTTTTCTGTTGGGGTGAATGGTGAGGGGTTTTTTGGGGGTGTGGGGCTCTATAAAATATCAAACAAATACAGTAACAAAAAGAACATATTTCAGATATAAAAATGTGAAATCTTCTGGTCCTAGCACTGCACAGAATCCAGCAGCTCTGACAACTTACCATCCCAGCTTCTGCTGCAGATATTCGACTGAGAACCTTCATCATATTTGTTGGTGCAACAGGCTTGAAACTGTTGAATGTCATTTTAAAAAAAAATCAATTAGTTTCTGACTTCTCACTTATTTTAACCACGTTTTAATGAGAGAAAAGATCTTACCTAATAGTGGATACACAAAGCTCCTCTAGAATTTCTGCTGGGAACAGTAACCTCTGGTTGTTGTCTCCACTGAAGTTGTCAGAGATTATAAATATCAGGGGGCACCTACTGGTACGAACAAATCTCCTGAATTGGAAAACAAGCAAGTGCTGTGAGGACCAAACCCCAGTTTGCTGCGAGTGGCCAAAGATAATAATTAAAAACTTATTTTGTGCCAACCTGAGAATGCCATGCAGGCTGCTGGGGTCCCGGTAGAACAGGTTGGGAATGTCCTGCCCAAAAGAAAGAGCTGCTGACACTTCATTCAGAGGTGAATATTCCCTCCCACAGACACCAACACTGTCATGGCACATCACATTGCTGCACATTTGTGATTCCTGGCTAGCTTCCCTACAACCAAATTTGAATGCAGCCAACGCTGAAAAGAGCCAGAGAGAGGGGAAAGAACCCAAACTCAAAGCACAGTATGTCTTTCATGACAGAAAACAACTATCTAAAAATAAATGCTTTCTTTCTGTCTCTGCTTCCTAAGAAACAGCCCTGGGTGATCACATTGCCTGCCAGAGATTTACCCAGAGGAGAAACACTCCAGGCAGCTCTGCTGGGGAAGAGGGCACAACATACCATGTGAGGTGTGACAGGACCTACACGAGAAGGTGACATTATGATGACAAGTCACACAAAACTCCCAAAATCTACAGTACCCAACTAGAATTTTTGCCGTTTTTGTCTTGGAAGTTTACAGACAACCTGACTATCAATTTCTGAAATTCCTTCCATAAAAAGGAAGAAAGGGTCAGAAAGAAATTGTTATTGAAACACATTCCTGAGCAAGTACAAATAAAGTCTTGTCCTGTACCTGCCCAAAACTCCTTAGTCCACACCTCTGTCCTAAATAACATCCCGTGAAGACCAGGGACTGAGTGCTAAATTGCAAATGTTTCTGATTGTGTTCATCCTCATCTGTCTCCTGCACTCTCCTGCATCCTTAAGGGACAGGAACAATGGGATTTTTTCCCACTCTTCCTTTTTACACACATGGATAGTTCTAGACAAACAATCAAACATGGGAACGACTTTCAATGTTGTGTTGATCTCCTTTGTGGCACTCTGTTACTTATTGCTGTACTCAAATCAGACTCCAACTCCTGACTTTTGGTTCATCTACAAGTAGAACGTGGTTCTCAACTGCTGCAGAGGCTCAAAGAGCAACAAAGACCTCATCTGCAGTAAAGCTGATGAACTTTGGGAAACACCAGTCCACCAGCTGAGGGTCGTGAGCATGTCAGTATTACAACATCAGGTACTGTTTTCAACCCAAGATTTCACAAGTTTTCACTTACTTCAACAAGAATAAGCTTTTTATCACTTTCTGAGGACTCCCCAAGCATCTGAAGTTTGTTATACTTATTTGCTCTTAATAGAAAATCTTGAAAGAGAGTTGCTTGGGCCTGGCTCGGAAACATAGGAAAACTGGAGTCTGAAAGAGAAAACTAATTAAAAATATGTATTCCATATTATACCAAGTAGAATAAAACACCCACAAGAACTAATACCCACCCATGCTGTTTTCTGACAGCACCACTGAAGAAGCCCTTTGGCAAACAAATACAAGAGAATTTTTAAAAAAGGTATAATTCAAGTGAGGGCCCCAATAAAGACATTTACCTGGTTTTATTTAATTGGTTCAAGTAATATCCATGCTATTACAGAGCTCTCTGTACTGATTTGAATTGTCAGTTATTTTGGAGTTAACACTGTAAAAAACCTAAATCCCTTTCCAGATAAAAGCAACAGAAAAGTTTTTATTTTTATTTTAGGGAATGGATTTGCACAGATGTGGATCTGATTTCATATGTGACAGACACAAAAGAAGCAAAAACACAGCATATGAAAACCATAAAAGTAACTGGAACAGGAAAAATAAGAGAAAAAACCCAAAATACTTACCATGGTCAAGCATGTTTCTTAACTCTTCCTTTGTAAAGTCTAAAGATATGGGATTGGTCCATTCTTGCACCTGAAGGCCAAGATCTTTGGCCAGAATTTGCAGAGTTGCAGTTTTTCCACAGCCAGGGGGACCAGTCAGCAGCAAAACAGAGCCACCCTGACACAGAGGGACAGAAATAACCCCAAGTGTGACTGATAAATAATGACAGTTGGCTGGAGATGAATATTGGTTGAATTTCCCCTGTATTTTCTCTGGCAATGATCCTCTTTCCCAAAGAAACCCAAGTCACATATTTTGTGTTGTTGATTTACTTGCTGAGTGTTCAGACAGAGGACTCTGAGAGCCCTGTTCTGTTCTGAAAGCCCCTGGTTAGGTGGGCAACACTGGCAATTTATGCCAGTGTACAAGAACAGCTCCTACCCATCCAAACTAAAAACATCCTGGTACACCAACCCTGTGCAACTGGACACTTCCCAAGAGACCTAAAAATTAACCTGAGGTTTCAAGCACACTGAAGAGTTGTGATTTATGACTGGAGGCCAAAAAACAATATTTCTGACCAAAATCAGAATCCACCTCTCACCAGCACAGGCCCAAAACAAAAGTACAAGCTCTAACCTATGTCCTTAACAGATTTCTTACAATGATACACAACCACCACCTCTCAGTTGAGGTTTTTCTCTGAACTTAGAACTGCATCCAGCTCATTTGTGTGGTTTGATACCTCTGGCTGTTCATTTTAGCATGTTTACCTGCTTTGGTTGCCTCTGAAGTATGTGCATTTTTAACCAGGCCTCAACTTCTTCAATTTTCTTCTTTTGCACAGCAAGGTCATTCTGAAACAAGGTTAAAACACGTGAAATTCACATGTTCACCTCCTGGTTTCTAAAGATGAGATTCAAGGATAAAATACATGCTGACTGAAATATTAAGACATGCTGGTGTGTGTTCCAGTTACATTTATGCTTTGCAGAGGCAAGTGCCATAGTTAAGGATGATCATCTCAACCTGTTTCCTCCAACAACCTGTTTGCCATTGTTTGCAGTTGGGAAATAAGGAGCTGTTAATTATTCTCAAAGTAACAACACTGCAATCTTGCCTGTTGGTGTCATTATGCTCCACAGCTACTGCTGGAGCCGGCACCTTTTGCTCCTTTTACTCCAATATTGCACAGGTTTTTGTAACCTTTGCAAATCCCAGACAGCTGGGTTTTCCCAGTGCTCGGAGCAGATGGATGTGGCTGGAATTCAGCAACAGGTTCAGAAGTTTAGATGTGGACTGACAGGAAACAACATCTCATCAGCAGCTTTGCCTCCTCAGGAGGCCTGAGGGAAGTGTGTCTCCTACAGATAAAGAGCTCCTGGCAGTGAACAAACCAGACCAGCACCTTTTTGCTGCAGCAAAATGGGATATTCTGGCAGCCTGACCAACACAAATTATGGACAGAAGCACAGCATGTCACCATAATGTTACTACTACGTTAGCACTCAGAGTAAGTCCCACCTGAGTCTCAGGTTTGTACCTCTCCACCCACGGCAGCTCATCCTGGGACGGGCTCCAGCTCTGCCTAGGCTTGCTGCAGGGCAGATCCACCACAGAGGGCTTTGCCCTTTTCCTGGGAGGAGCCCTGGCTTTGCTGTTTTCTGGCACAGAACTCGGGTCCTTCTGCTGCTGCCTCCGGCCTCTCCCAGAGCCGCCTCCCAGGGCCTTCACAGCCACACTGGTGCTCCCCAAGAAGTCATCGAAGGGCTGCCCCAGCCAGTCTGCCACCTGGAAACACAAACACTGTGCCACTGAAGCAGCACCTCCTCCCCTTGCCTGGCCACAGCTGTCCCTAGAAAATGGTACCTTTTTATCCAGTGTACACTTGTCCATCCCTGGAAGTGTCCAAGGCCAGCTTGGACAGGGCTTGGAGCAACCTGGGACAGGGGAAGGTGTCCCTACCCATGGTAGGGGGTGGGACTGGATGGGCCTTAAGGCCCTTCAAACCCAAACCATTCTGGGATTCTGAGATTCTCCAGTATTAAAATAAAGCCTCCCCTCACATGTTGTGCCAAGAGTATTTTGCAGCAAATTGCCAAGTCAGAACAAGCAGAAAACTCCACAAACACGCATCCAAACTAAAGAAGTAAAATTAAATCAGGGATAAGAATGAAGAAGCACCATCAGCTTACTCAGACTGTGTTTACATTAAGGTCAGCACCCGGGAAACAACGTCTGCTGGGGCTCCAAGAGGCCGTTATTCGCACAAAAGCCGTTTTGGGCGGAATTTGCATATTTACCCGCGACGCCCCGTCCCTTCCACACACACACAGGCACCGAACGTTACTCTCGGCACAAAATAACCCCCGGCAAGGGAGAAGCGCCAACGCGGAGCCCCGACCCGGACCCACCTCCGCCGGCCTTCCCGGGGCGCTGCCGGACATCCTGGGCCGGGGGGTACCGGGGGGCGCCGGGGGATCCCCCCCACCCCCCTGCCGGGCGGCGGCACTCGCGGGGTCTCGGTGCCCTCGGAGTCTGGGGATCTCTCGGTGCCCCGGGTGTTTTCTCGGTGCCCCGGGGGGTCTCTCGGTGTCCTCCGGTGCCTCCGTCCCGTCCCCCCGGTCCCGGTGCCGGTGCCCTCACCCCCTGGCCCCGCGGGGTCCTTTCCCTCCGGCCGTCGCCGGGCTGCCCGCGTCGCGCCGGCCCGCGCGGTGACGCCATCGGCGCGCGCCGGCGGCGGCGGAGGCCCCCGCGCACGTGTCTCCAGGGCGACGGCGGCGCCATGAGGCGGCCGAACGTGCTGATCACCGGTGGGCACGGGGGGCTCGGCCCGGCCCCAGCCTGGGCTGATCTGGGGCGTGAGACCGCAGCCCCATCACAGCCTGGGGTCACTGGGGGCGGCGGTCCCATCCCGGGGTGGTTTGGGGTCTGGGGTCCCAGCTCGGGGTAATTTGGGGTGTGGGGTTGCAGTCGGGGTGATTTGGGGTCTGGGGTCCCAACCCGGGGTAATTTGGGGTGCGGGGTCCTGGCCTGGGAGGATTTGGGGTGTCACACCTGCCCGAGAACTCGGGACGCTCCCATCCCATCCCATCCCATCCCTTCCCATCCCAGGCTTTCCTTTGTCCCCCCCCCCCCCCCGTGGGGGGTGTTCCTGCTCCCCCTGAGGGTTCTCTCACTCACAGTGGGGATTCTCTCCCTGGTTTCCCGTTGCCCTCCCTGGTTCTCTGTGGGGTGCAGCTCTGTGCCCTTTTCCCTCACGCGAATCCCCCGACGTCCACTGGTCAAAGGCCCCAGTTCCCCTGCTGGGAGGGTGTTTGGTGGGACCTCCACCTCCTCTCTCACCCTGTCCTGTGGTTTTGGTCTCCAGGCACTCCGGGCGTTGGGAAAACCACGCTGGGAAAGGAACTGGCATCCAGAGCAGGGCTGAGCTACGTCAACGTGGGGGACCTGGCCAAGGAAGGTGCTGGAAAACAGAGGAGTCACCAGAGCACGGGGGATTCTTTGCTCTGTGCAACTCTCTGCTTGTGGTGGGAGAGCTGGGGTTGTGCTGCCTGGAGAAGAGAAGGCTCTAGGAGCACCTCAGAGCCCCTTCTAGGGCCTGAAGGGGCTCCAAAAATGCTGGAGAGGGACGTGGGACAAGGGATGGAGTGAAGGATAAAGAAAAATAGCTTCTCACTCCCAGAGGGTGTTCCCTGTGAGGGTGGGGAGGCCCTGGCACAGGTTGCCCAGAGAAGCTGTGGCTGCCCCTGGATCCCTGGAAGTGTCCAAGGCCAGGTTGGACGGGGCTTGGAGCAGAATGTTCTAGTTGAAGGTGTCCCTGCCCATGGCAGGGGGGAGCAATGAGATGAGCTTTGAGGTCCCTCCCAACCCAAACCATTCTGGGATTCTGTATATGAAATCAAAAGGCAGTTAATTTTCTCTAACAGGAGTTTCTGCACAGGACCCTTGGTGTTCAGCAGTAAATATCAAACTTACCCTTGCACAGATTTGTGAGCCGAGTGTTCCCTCCCCTGAGCTCTGCCTTTTGTTTGCATCCTCCTGCAATGAACGTGCCCCTGTAGACAGTTGTGGTGTCTCTGCCCCCCCAACCTGCCCTGACCCCTTTGTGCTGCAGGGGAGCTGTACGAGGGCTTTGACCAGGAGTACGACTGCCCCATCCTGGACGAAGACAGGGTGAGTCCAGCCCCCAGACAGGACAGGGTGAGTCCAGCCCGTGTCTGGGCCCTCTGCAGTGCCAGGGGAACCTGCCTGTGCCCCTTTGCCCCGCAGGTGATCGACGAGCTGGAGGCCAGGATGAGTGAGGGCGGGGTGGTGGTGGATTACCACGGCTGCGACTTCTTCCCCGAGCGCTGGTTCCACATCGTGTTCGTGCTGCGCACGGACAACTCCTTCCTCTACGACAGGCTGGAGAGCAGGTGTGCCAGGGGGGCACGCCAGGGCAAAGGGGGGGTGTTTTAGGGTGTGAGTCACAGGTTCTCCACTGCTTCTGCACGTCTCACGCTCTCCTCCCTCCGCGCTCTCGTTTTCCAGGGGCTACACGGGGAAAAAGCTGCAAGACAACATCCAGTGTGAGATTTTTCAGACTCTTTACGAAGAAGCTATGGAGTCATACAAAAAGGAAATTGTGCACCAGTTACCCAGCAACACCCCAGAGGACCTGGAGAGAAACTTGGATCAGATTATGCAATGGATTGAGCAGTGGATGAAGGACAACAACTGACTCTGGGTGGAACGGTGACTGCTGGATCTCTTCCTGGGAGGGTTCAATAAATGACATTCATTTTGTATCAGTTAACATGAATTTTACTGTAACTGGACATGGTTGGGGAGTAGAAGGTTTAGAACAGCCAAGTTTGTGAGTGTTTGGAACAGCCTCTGAAGCACCCTGGGAGAGACACACAGGAGGACCCACACAAGGGAATGGAAGGATGGAAACGACACCATATTTCTCAGTAGAGGAGCTGTGTTCAATAATTGAGAACTCTTTGGGCCTCACAGTTAAAACCAAACTGTGAACTCACCCCAGAAAAACTGTAAAATGCTGATAACTGGTGGCACTTTGGATTTCTGGAGGGTGCAACAGTGTCCTGAAAAGGGGTTAATCTAAAGCTGAGTTGTGAGACTGGAAACTGCTGTGCCCCACTGTGTCCTTGGGTGTGAGGCTAATGCAGAATGAGGGGTTGGTTCAGGTTAAGGGAGGAAGTGACATGGTAACAGTTATTTTAAAATTCACAGAACTCTGGGAATTCCTTCATGGGTGAGGACACATGGGCTGTGTCTGCACTGGTGTGGGATGCTGAGCAATAAAGAGCAATAAGCTTTCTTTTCCCTTTTTCTCTCTGTACTCCCCACCACCCATCCTAGTAGTGGAACACACATCACTGCAGGTTTACCCAGGAAATACATCCCTGGGCAGGAAAGCCTGGGGAGCCCCAGGACGTGGCTACAGTTAAAACACTGGCAGCCATCTGCTCTAATTGCTTGTACAGCCTGGGTCCCAGCGGGGCAGGGCAGATAAAAACCTTCCTTCACTGAAAACCCTGCTTGGAAAGCTGCTGTAGGAGGTGCTTGCTAATAAACTCTCAATACACATGATATAGTAAAACCACTTTCTTTAAGATCTCTGTCGTAAAGAGTATTATTGTTAGGTATTTAAGACTATTGCAGATTGGGTAGAGGGTTTTTGGGTGGGACTCAGAGGAATACTGCATCAGCAACCTGATATCATAAACCAAAATGATGATAAATCTGGAGTTTCCTGGCACAACCGAGGAAAAGCACCGAGGGAACACAGGTGGAGGTGCTTTGATCTGGGACGGCAGCAGGGAGCAGGGGGAGGGCGGTCTGTGGGGTGGAGAGGACAACCCCAATTCTTGAGAGCGCCCGGAGTCACCACGTCGGGTCACCTCAGGTCGCGTTTCCGAGAGCTGCCCGACACCTCCCGGGGCTGCAGGGGAAACACGGACCTCTATGGAAAGGTGAGAATAATCAACTCCACCTTCCGCCGAGCTCCGGGTGCCGCTCCCGGTGCCGCTCCGTCCCTCCCGCCCCGGGGCGGGACCGGCATCGCGCTGTGCGGGCGCGCAGGTGGGTGCGGGGGGATCCAGGGGTGCTGCGGAGCCGGGAGGGGTTCAGGGGGGGTCTCAGCGAGGCGCTGCCCCCGGTGCCGCCCCGGCCCAGCTCCCACCGAGGGGCGGGAGCGGCGTTTTTGGCAGCCCCGACCCGCCGGGGGAGCGGCCGCGCCCCGACGGCTCCGTGTTTCTGGCTGCAGCGCTGTCCTGCTGCTTTAAATAAACGCTTTTCCTTTCCTCCTAGATAAAACAGTCGCTTTGGGAGGCGCTGTTGGCGCTGGCCGTGGTGAACGGCCCTCGATCAGGAAAGGAAAAAAAAAAGAAACAAAAACCAGGCGCAAAACCGGGAGGAGAAGATGGAGGGAGAGGAGGATGACATGACATGTGGAGACTTGGGAAACGGCCTTGGGAGGAGACCTGGAGGTGTTTATGAAGCGGAAAACTTACAAAATCCCTATTCAATTAGATCCAGGAAAGGATCTGGAAAGGCTTGTAATTCCCTCTTGTCAGCAAAGGGAGCGGGAGAAAGTGATGCTGCAGCTCTTCCTGGTCCAAAACGAAACAGTTTTTACGAGGGATCACTCAGAAAACCTGCTGCAAGTTCCACACGACAGAACAGCTGCGGTAAGAGTCACTGGGAAGTTAATTATTCACCGGGGAAAAACCTCTGTTAGAAAAACTGAGCCGTTCAGCCGCTTCACGTGTTGTCATCAGGTTTAATTAGAACCATTTGCCAAGGTCCGTGAAGGATTCCAGTAAGTGCCTGTGCATCCTGTGCCTGCTGGGAACCTCCACCTTCCTCCCGGGGCATTAACGGCACAGTTGCTTTTCGGTGATCGAGGCTCTGGCCCTTCTTAGTGTGAAATGCCCGGTTTTAAAGTGTTTGTTTTTGCTTTTTAAAGTGGCATTTAGCAAAGAGCGTCCTGTGGTGGCTGTATCTCTACATACATACACAAAATTGAATGGAATTGCTTGAAGTCCTGCTTTGTTTAAGTAACTTTAAGTCTTCTCAGGTGTAGTATCTAGAGCTTGTGGCTAAATATTCAAAAATCTCATTTGCTATTTAGCTGAACTTTGTGAATTGGCTTCCTTTTGGGCTAAAAAGTTCTTTTCAGAACCTGTGTTGGCATTCATCTTTTTCTTTGTGAAGGAAACGCTGCTGTAAATACCATCAGGTGTGGGCAGTGCTGTTCATTTCACTTCAGCTGCTTTCCTTTACATTTTTAGTGTTTTGACTGAGGTATTTCTGCATCACTTGCTTATTTCTCTCCTTCAGAACGATTCCCCACTATCCAAATGCCACAATAAACTGAGCTGTCTTAAGACTGCCCTTACTTCTACATAGTGCCAGCCACTGTTGTGGTGACTGTGGCTGTTGAAAAGTTACAATCTTAAAACAGTCTAAAAAAATTAAAGTATTTTTTAAATCAAGAGGGATTTTTCAATTTTTTTTCCAAAGGAAAGTATAAAATATTTGTCCTTATTTTCTGTCTTTACAACTGACCTTTTTTCCGTATTTCACTTCTTTAACTGTGAGCACTGTGTTTGAAATTAGTATTTATGTATTTCTTAAATCTGTTTATTAGCTCCAGAAAAAAAGTAAAACAAACCACAAAGATTAAAATTCACCTCTGCATTTTACTTTTTTTCAGGTTAAAGCAAATTCTCATTTTTTTTCTTTAGATATTATAGTATCTCATCATTCAGTATCTCCTATTAATCCTACAGAATCTAATACTGAAATGTCAAATGAAGAACTGAAGCAACGACTTCAGGAAGCTCTGGAGGTTGGTAATGGTGCCAAGGGTGCTGCTCCCCAAATCTGCATTTCCTTTCAGTGTAGCAAGAGGATCTTGGCTTGGATCCAGGTTCTTGAAATTAGAGTGGTAGCTGGGATCTTCATTAAATTTTACAGCAGGAAATCACAGTGTGAGGTGCTGTTTGTACTCTGGGGGTTTGTTGGTTTTTTTGGGTTTTTTTTTGAGGGGTGGGGAAGGTATTTTGAAAGGACTAGAGAATATTGTAAGTAATATACTTCTTTAGCAGGTGTTATTTTTTATTAAGCTTTGGGGCCCGAAAATCTGCAGTGTGAACAACCTTTGGCTTTTTAGCCTGCATTTTTGTCGAGAGGTGCTTAACTCCTACATTTTGGGGGTCCTGTGGTTAAATGTGTTGGTGTGTTGGCATCACAGCCAGCTGAGCTCAGCTGTGACAATACACAGTTTATCTGCTCTGTGCTCTCTGACCTCACGGGATCCCCTGAAAAGAAGTCAAGGAGGTAAAACAGAAGAGGGCAAATTCACTTTGCTGCTGCAGCCGAGTCTTAGCGGGATTACCTTGGCCTGTACTCAGTGTCCCTGTTCTGTTCTGCTTCAGGAAGTTGATATTTTGAAAGTTGAGCTCGAAGCATGTCAAAGGCAGCTCGAAGGAAAAGATGAAGCCCTGAGAATCCTGCAGAGCATGGTAGGAGTTGTTCAGGAACCGTTGGGTAGGGAGTGGTGACGGGAGGAAAACGGAAAACCCTTCCTGCTGCTCCTCACCCAAACCTCAGAAACCACGAGGATTTCCCTGTGCTGCAGCTCAAAGCACTGGGTCTGGAGGTGTCTGGAGGTGGCTGCAGACGTGGCTGCTGCAATGTGCTGCTTTTTCTCCACACATCTGATGTGGTTATGGAAGAAAACTGTGCTGTTGTAGCAGTTCTCATGGTTTTATCTCTGAGGATCCTTCAGGATTTATCTATTTAACATGAAAATAAGGCCGTTTTCCCAGTCCCTTATGTGATAGATTTTGCCAGTGCTTGAAATCCTGCTGCAAGTCACAGGTGTTTTCAGTTACTCCTCTGTCTGTTGTCCTAGAGGACAGTGTGGGTTAGATGTCAGGTAATTCCTTTGCTCACAGCCTGCAATAGTTCTGTTGTTCACTGTCACAATGAGCTCTGGTGAAATCAGTTCCTGCTTTTCTTCCTCCTTGCATAACCCCTTTATAGCTGGGCAGTTTCTGCCCTCGGACATTTGCAGCCAGTTACACCTGGATCAACAATTTACCTGTGTTGTGACCAAGTGTTCACAGATGGGATTTTCTGGACAAGCTGTGAGGAACAACGTGATCCCATCTTAAATTGTGCTGCATTTTTCAACAGGAGAGGTTGTGGGACTGAAACAAGAGTTTGTTGTGCAGTTTAGTGACTGGAAATCAGAGCCCACTGGGGCTTACAAGCAGGTTGTAACGTTTGTCATTCTGCACACTCCCGTTTAGCAAAAAGTGTTGATTTCTGTGTGTGTTGGGCTGAACATGTGTCTAAAGCCAAATTAAGTGAACTTAATGACAGTATTTGACAGAATTGTAGGGTTTTTTTCTCTCTTCTTTTTTTTAGGCAGTATTTGATAAAGCCACCAGTCATACAAAAGCAATGCTTCAAAAAACTGAGGAAGAAAAGAGGACCTTAGAGAAGGTAAGGCTGTGTATCCTTTACACATGGAAACCCGTGGCTACTAATGAGGAATTAACAGACTGTTCATTTAAATCAGTGCAAACCTGCCATTAACTCCAGAGCTTTTAGGAAAGTGTTCTTAGTCCTTTTTAGTGGAATGGGGAAACGTTAACGTGCCACTGTTTTGATCTGGATCTTCTTATTCCTTAGAGTGTGCAAATAATACCTAAAAATCACCAGAGTTCTTCCTTTACTTTCAGCTGGCGTTTGTTGTGGGTTTTGGTCATTCACAGTGAGTTGCTCAGTTCCTCAGGGATTAAGCTGAAAATTCCCAAGGGGTCTAGGACACATGTGCCAAGTTTTCATAGGGAAGATGGGGAGGAGGAGGAGGAAGGTGGCTTGGAGCTGCTGTGTTAAACTGAGTTTTGTCCTTTGGTTCCTCCTCCTGTGTGGCCTGATCAGGAGGGTGACAGGGGAATGTGACAGCGTGGGTTTGGTTTTGTTATAGCCCACTGGAAGCATTAACACAGTCCTGTCACACAGTCTGGGATCCATAAGTCACTTCAGTGTCTGGCACCAGTTTTGTTATTAACAGCATCACAGATTGTCATCCTTGCTGGTCACTGAGATCTCTCTTCTCCCTTTCTTTGGGAAGCCTGTAATGTGCTGCTGCAGGTTTGTTTCTTTCCACAGGAAATAAATATTTTGCAGTGGGAAATTGAATTCGATCAGGATAGATTTAAAAACATAGAAGACACGTGGACAGAAAAATATGACAGGTATTTTACTTCCACCGTGTATCTTTGAGTCTTTTTGTTTTCAGTTTT